TGTTGTTACAGTAAAAGGTTCTTTTATTGCCATGTTTATTTTGGTGAATCAAAAGTGTCATGACTGTTGTTTCAGTGATCTAAGGTTCAGTGATCTTGGGTTTATTGACCTTTATTGACTGATGTCTGCTACTATCCTGGGCTTTTTGAGGCTTCATTACTTTAACACTTTCAATATTTTACAAGTGGAAACCATTAATTTTTGTAATTAGACAAAAATATGTTAGTATAAAGTAGTATGAATATGATCTATGTTTTTGTTTTTCTTTAATTTTAACTAACAATCTTACCTGAGATTCATGTACATATCCAGCTGCATTTACTATGATGCTCCTGAATTAAAATCAGTGCTGCCTCCAAAGTTCACCTCTGTTTAATCTAATCTCATTCTCAATCCAGCTTCTCTGTATCAAACAGGCAGACTCAAAGACACATCAGACATTTTTCCCAGAGCTGTAAAATCAATCACCCCAATTTAAACCCAAAATGGTCAGTTTAATCACTAATGTATTAACTTATTCTAGCATGAGTTGCACTTTATATAAATACATCCTGCTATGTATACATGTGCCCTTTTTATATTTATCTCCAGGGATACTTTTCACCTGCTATTAGTGATCCCTTTCTTGCTGATTTAATAACAAGTGGTGGCAACATAAGCATAAATCCAGAAATAATTTATCAAGGATCACTGGAACCTGAACAATGAGGAACGCATAGGTTAAGAAGGGAATGAAGAGAATCCAGCAAACAATGACTGCAGAGGGGGAGTATAAATGCTAAACAGGACAATGGATGGAGTAATCAACTGATTGGGAGCAGGTGTGGAGAGAAGGATCTAAAAGGGAGCTACACTGCAAAAACTCACAATAAGTGTATTTAGCCTTCATTTTAATAGGTAAATCAGATGATTTGCCAATGGAATGAGTATTTTTACTCTTCAAATAAGAAAATGAGATATTATTTGCTTGAAAAAAGACAATGCAATTACTTTATCTTATTTTAAATGTAAATTGTCTTGTTCCATTGGCAAAGTATCTCACTTAACTCCTCAATTCCAGAAAATGCATTTATTCTAAGAAAAAATGACATATTGAGATTTCATTTTTTTTGCAGTAGGAGAAAGGACACTGATGCAACGGGGCAACAGAGGATAACCAAGAAATGCAACAGAAAACAATTTATGTGACACTTGACGGAAATCAAACTTTGAATCAGACTTTGAAAACACAGAATGACATAAATCAACGTGTAACTGAAAAGCCAAAGTGAAACTTGGAACAGAACCAAAGATCACAATCAGGAGATTATGACAGACACGTCAGGGAGAAAGCTATGATAAGGTTTAAGGCTTAATTAAAATCTAAAACAAGATTCCATGTTTTGTAAATTTGAGCTGTTTAATACAATCATCAAACCTCGGGAAGAAAATGATCAAACTGCAAACAGCCAAATTCATCAAGCTGACCAAGGAGAACGTTGATCAGAAAGTAACCATGGTCATTCTAGAGGAGCTGCACCTCAAGTGAGGAAATCAGTTTTGGGATGAGTGTTAGTCATTCAATCTTTACAGAACCAAAAAAACACAATATAACACCCTGAACACACCATTCTAATACTAACACACTGGGCTTGCAATTCATGCCAAATGGATATTATTCTTCAGCAGATGTAAGAAAAAGATCATCAGAGCTGATGTGAACATGAATGGAGTAAAACAGAGAGCAACCTTAGAAGGAAACCTGTTCGAGGCTGCGAAACATTTAAGATTAGGAAAGATGTCCCAGCAGGCTGAAACCCAGAGCTGCAGTAGAAATGTTCAGATCCAATCTGAGCTTAATCTGATTTTCAAACAAGAATGGACAGAAATTTGAGTCTCTAGATGTCTAAAGTTGATAGAGACATACCACTATAGTTTTATTTTTGTTGTAATATCACCAGTATGTGATTCTGCAGAGTACTGACCCATGTGGGTAAAATAAATATACATTCTGTGTGCTTTGCAGATCTTTATATGTAAAATCATTTTTCTATCTACCCTTCCTTGAAAGGCCTATATTCCTTACCTCCCAAGTCTGCTATTATGTGTTGACATTATTTCTAACAAATGAAAACACTTTCTTTAAGTATATCGATTAAGTTTTTGGACCTTTTAGATGCAATGTAACATAAAGCCAAGCATTGTGGGCCTAAAATCCACAGACCTACAAATTCATTGATAACCAATTTCAATAAGCATAAGGGTACATAAATAATTACAGTGTCATCAATCTAGCAATCACTGAGTGCTCAAAGTAAAGTTAAAGCAAGTTTGCAAAGACTCAGACTCAGCCCTCTGCTCAGCCAGTGTTTTCCCACATGTAATCGAGGTCGAGCAGTAAATTGCTCTAACATGGCCTTTCCTGTCTCCCTCTCTCCATCCACCTCTGCCAACTACAACTACAATGCTCCCTATTTATAGTGTTTTTAATGCAGATATTAACTCTCTCCCCCGGTTTTTCCTGCTGCTTCCCCTGAGAGAGGAAGTGTGTGTGTGTGTGTGTGTATGCGTGCATGAAATACAAACCTAGAGGAGCAATGCGTCATTTTTATTTTTTTTATAGAAACATCATGCTGTATTTCCAGCAATGAACTGATGTCTGACAGAGATTTTCTTTGGTCCAGGTCATAAGTTGTATATGTGTCTGAATCTGTTTTCAGGTTCTTCTGAATGTGTTTGGGTGTATTGTGTAAGCCAAAAGCTGAGTGCTCAGATGCCGGAGTTCACTTTTCTCCAAGGGCAGTGTGGAGGAAAAGCTGAAACTGGTTGCAACATCCTGTTTTCAGCATAAACACTTTTCATCAAGGCTGCGCTTTTTTATCCCATGTGTTGGAACAACAATCAGTCCTCTCTCTGTTTGACTCTCTATCCCTGGTGTCCAATAATGATGATGATAGAAACCCCCCTACAGCCTGGATGCAGACATATGAGTACATGCTGCAGAGACAGCAGGTGCTGTAAGTTTGTCTGGCCTGACATCAGACATGATAGGAAATCCCATACAGGAAAAACCTCGCCTTGCTGACGTGTCTCACTGTCTGCCTTACTTTAGAAGTTTGGAGGTATTTTCTCCTTATGTCATCTCCTCTGGTCACTGCTAGGTTGCGGGCCAGGGATATTCCAAGCCTGGGCTTCCTGCCTTTTATTTCAGGGTCATGGGCAACCTTATAGGAAAGTACTGGATGTAATCATCTCTGATCATGTGAATAAAACAGTAGCTCTGAATAATTGTTATAACTCATGAACTATCACCAGTCCAACCACTCTATGATCACTAATAGTTTCAGAATCAGTCACTTTTAACTCCATATGAATACACACCATTCTCTGATATTGAAAAGCATCCCATCTCACTATTCTCACCCCCAGCATAGTGATGATCTGTGGGTGGACAGTGATTCAGTATTGGATAAGTGAATGCCAACACTCACAAATGTAGTGAAGAGTTGTGAAAGGTTGAAATTTGAGCCAAACCAGGATCAGTCCTTGAAAAAACAGTCCTTTTGCCAGGAGAGTCAAAAGTATTAAAATGGACTCAATTCTAAAGCCTCTTAGATCAAGTTTTTTCTCCTTCCATTTTGCTTTTCATGTGCATATAGTGTCTGCTTCATGTCACCAACCCAAAATGACTTGTTAAAGTATCCGCCCTCCTTAGTTCTTATGCATTTATATAAAATCTAATTACTTAGGGCCATTCCAACACATGACTATATTTGATCTGAACCACTCTATTGTAGCTTTGGTTGTGTTTTTCACTCAAAATTATTTGGTTCCTACTAGGATGGGGGAAAAAATGTATATTTAGAAGTGTTAGATAATGAATCTTGTTTTAAATGTTGCCTTTGCTTATTTCTAGATTTAATAAAATTAAATTATCTTGCTGCATGGACAGATATTTTCACTTAGTTTGAATAGCCTATCCTTGGGATTTACTTTACTACCCCTTTTTCAAAGTATTTGAGGCTTTTTAACTCCATTTTTTTACACCTTCAGCTGTGATCACTGTTCTTGTCTATGCTGAAGAAAACCAAACCCATAGCACCATGCTGTCACTTCTATGTATTACCTTGGTGATTCCTGCCACACCCTTTTTCCATTTACATTGAAATACATGTATTTTCCATCTAATCAGAGAACCCTTTTCTACACATTCTCTTCGTGTTGCAAATTAAACAAGCAAAATTAGAACTGGATTCTTTTGGCTACTTTCTTTGTAAAGATCAGATTAATTGATTGCATAAGTAATGATTGTCCAGTCAACAAATTCCCCACTCGAGCTGTGGATCTCTGCAGCATAGAGTGACTAAAAGCCTCTTAGCTGCTTCTCTGGTGATCTTTTTCTATGTCCGGAGTGTTAGTGTTGGTTAATGATAGATTCAGAACATGTATTTTCTACTTTTGGATGGATATTGTTGTGGTTTGGTTGTTTGTTTTTTAAACCAGAACTGCTTAAATTTATTCACAACCTTATCTCTGCCAAGGTCTTCATGAAGCTGTTTGATGAGACAGTGAAAACTGTTTACTACGGTAATTAGACCACTTTTAAAGGAAACATTTTTCTATTTAGGGGTGTCCGTGACAAGTAGGGAAGTCCCTGCTATACTTTACCAATAGTTTTATTCATTTATTTAAATCAGTCTTAATGAGATCCCCGTATAACACAGTAAAGCTTGTGGTTTCCATGTGTAAAAAAAAAAAAAAAAAAAAAATTATAATGCAAGAGCCTTTGTTTTTACAAAGCAAATTTCATGAAACATTACAAGCTAACCATAATCTGAAAAAAGGCTGCAGAGAGGTTTAAAGAGGGGAGCTTCTAAAACCAAGGTTAGAAACGTGATGCAGGAAGTGACTGTGGGGGAGTGGGTGCAGCTTCTACAGAGCACCTGGAAACTCTCCCCAATTCAACTTTTGATCTAGAAATCTGTCCTGTGCAGAAATGAAACAAATAAATACATCAGACGTATGAGTGCAGGTTGTGAATTTATTTCCATTCTGTTCGAAGAAAGGCCATGAAATCTCCCTCCTTCTCAAACAACACATAAAAAACCCCAAAATGTAGAAAAATACACGATGCTGTTTGAACCCAAAAGGAGATTCAGTGTTTAATTCAAATATACTTTGCACATAAACGTCAGAGACAGTGGCTTTAAGGTAAGGCATTTCTCCTTGAAGAGAACTACAACAAGCATTCAAAAGAAGGCACTTTTTGATTTTTTTTTTTTTGATTTCCAACTCTTCATAAAGCTTATGCAGCCTACATTCAAACATAAAATATTCATGTGTGTGCTCAACAAATCAGGGAGAAAGACAAGACGAAAACATCTGATAGACTTCTTTCTCCTTTTACTCCAAACCCTCAGATTACTCTGAAAAATAGCAAATCTGAGCTGAATACAGTTGAGCCCAGCTACTACTACAGTACTAAAAAAACCTAAGGTGAGCTGACTTTGGAAAGAGCCTCAGGTTGGAAAAGATTGAGAGTTAGGAGATGCTTTTTAAGACAGAAACCCCCCAATTTTCCGCTCCTGAGGCAAGTCAAATTACGAACTCATACAAAATATCAAAGGATGCTGCTTTTCTTTTGTTAAAGCAGAATGTTCAAGGCATATGTGAAATTCAGAAGCTAATCTTCAGCAACATACTTAATCTTTCATTTTCTATTACTTTCTTAATCATTTCAACATTTCATCCCTTTCATATCATCTCTTTAGTCACCTCTTAAAATATGAAATGTGACGTTCAACAAGAAATGTTCAGTTTCTTTCAATTTGCTCAAGATCTAGCTCCCCGCCAAGCTGGAAAATGTCCCTCTGCTTCCCGCGATCACCCTTCCAGAGGGTGCATTTACTGTCCTCAATGCAGCATTCAGGGGAACCGGACCGCGAGTCCACACTGCACGCAGAATCACTGTCCAGTTCCCCGTAGGATGAGTCCTCTTCCCCGTCGTCTGCGATCCTATCCGCCCGCGACTCCAGCGACAGCTCTGAGACAGCCGCGAAGTCAGTCTCCGATTGGCCGGCGAAATCAAACGAAGGCGCGCTCAGGTTGGATTTGAAGCTGTCGGAGGATGAGAATCCAGGCCAGCTTAAGCTTTGAAAGGTTTGTAGTTTCTGGATGGAAAAAAAAAAGATTGGGAGAAATATTGTGACTTGACTGAAACAATAAAAATGTTGTTACAGTTTATATTTAAACAGAGGTTTTTGTTTTCCCTTAAAGATGGGGAGGAATTGCTTTTTGTTAGGGCAGCTAAATGGGAGCTTTTCCTTTTATCAAAAGCATGTGTAAATGTAAATGCAAGGGCACACAGAAGCCATTTGAGAACATAGACACAAATCTACCCCATCTGGGTTAATATAAAAAAAAAAGAAACTGGGATGAGCTACAAACCATAGAAAGTATGTTTTGTCAAAATGTGGTCTGGAATTACTCATTGCTAGAGCAAAAGCAAGTACACTAAAGACATTTTTATTCATATTACTCTACATTTCTAGGAGTTTCTGCTCAATGTTTGTCATGGGAGTACATCAAAAGTGATGTAAAAGAGATTCAAAGTTGTGTGTTTCCTCTCTAAAGCAAACAAAGGCAGTAGCACGGTGCATGTAGGGGTTAATGATCTCTGGAGCGCCTTCAGACAGCAGATGTTCAAGGCATGGAGGTGAATAGAAATGAAGGTTGCTCCGCAAAACCTAATCTCACACAATAGACACCTGTAACGTTCTCTTAACACGTGTCGTGGATTTTGCCGTTATAAGCTGGAGCTCTTGGGTTCTGGTGATGTAGCTGAATCTAAAAGAAGAAAGTAAGGCTGGAGTTTGCTGTCTGGGTTTAAAGTTTGCAGGATTAACATGCTTCATTCATCTGCAAACACTTGAGATGATGTTTAAGTGGGAGGCATTTTTGCTGTAGCTACACCAGTGGAGTGGAAAAGGGGATTTCTAAGCTCTGAAGCTCAGGCTTCAGCCCCCCAGTATTACCCCACTACTAATTATCGCAGCAGAGGAAGAGACGAGGGCAAAGAAAAGGAGAAAGGAGGGGCAGCAGCTTCTGCACAATATGCTTTCTATAAAATCTAGAGGCAGACTGTGCTTTGAGTGGGTGTGGTGGTGAAATGGAGGAGCAGTTACATTTCTTCTATATAACAAGCTCCTAAATGCAGTTTTTAAATGACGTCTTCCCCATAGGAAATTTCCAAATCACAGAGGCACTAAATTTGGTCACATTACATTTAACCAGAGAAAGACACTATATTTCCCTCAAAAGTCTAGAGGACAATCTTTCTGAGTGGATCATCTAAATCAGTGGTCCTCCTAATTGTCAATCATTCTGATGATATGTTTACGTAAGGCCGTGCTCATTCTGTTATCTTTTTCTGTGCATGCACACTTTCAGCAGCATATGTGTAGTGAGCTGCGGTTTCAGACAGTCATTGAAGCTCACCTTTCTCACCGCGGTTCTTTGAAAATGGCCGAGGCCAAAAGAGAAAAAGTGTCTACGAAGTGTATTAGAAGAAAGGAAAGGTTTCAGAAGAGGCAGATATATCCCGGAATGCTTTGAGTGGAGAGCTCTCCTCGCAAAGCATTATGGGATTTGCTGTCACAGTGACCCACGGTCGCCATAGGCTGTCGCTACCCCACAGCTGTAACTGATAACAAAAATGGTGCAGGCACAGCACAGTGGAGGAGGTGACCGACAGGGCAAAAAGCAGTGATCATCTGTCCGAACGTTCAGTTAACTGAGTTAGCTATAAAGCCCACTATATAATCCCAGCTCTATATAGTAATTGAGGGATTTAGGGGTTAGAGCAGAAGTTCAAGCACAGTAAGCTTGTATAAGCTATGAGAACAGCAACTTTTAAACAGAGCGTGCAGGAGGAGAAATGGTGCTCCCGTGCACGTTTAATAGGCGTTCCCTCTCGGAAGAAGGTACACGGCTGTGCATGTGCATTTTTTGGAGAGGTCTTGTAAAAATATCGCGAAAATCCTCAACAATAACTTTTAAGTGGGTTTGTCACCATGCAAAACGGTAGTAAGAGTTGCAGCTAGCATGCAAATCCATGCATGCTAGTAAAAGGAAGCAGTTTTTTACAACAAGGTTACAATACAGTCCTGCAACAACGGATTCTGAAAAGTCAAACTGGTTCCAGGAAGAGCCGTGTGGCTGCAGGTTTTCTTTCCAACCAAGAAATAGCTCACCAGACTCCAGTCATCTCATCAAGTCATCATGTTCAGATTGGACTCACTCGATGAGATGACTGGAGTCAGGTGTGCTATTGCTTTGTTGGAAAGAAAACCTGCAGCCACATGGCTCTTTCTGGAACCGGTTTGACACCCCTGGTTTAAGGTCATGAACAAAACTGAAACCCTAAAATATTTCATCTACAAGCTTATGGTTAGTGCAAAGGAAAATCAAAATAAAACCACAATCTCAATCTTGGTTAAAAATAATCGCAATTTAGATTTTTCGTTCAGCCCTAATCTAAACCTTATCTGCTGCTAGATGAGAGTGGCAGTAATAGCTCTCATCAACATTTGTGTTAACACGCGATAAAGGCAATTTTATTTTTATTTAGCACTGCAGGGTTTCGGGCATCAAGTCAGTGAACCATGCACATTAAAGACTTATGGTCACAAGCTAAAGACTAGACATTCTTCTGAAGGATTTTTCAGGTAAACTCATAATTTAATCAACTATGAAAAGTCCTTAAGTGCATGAAAGATATTATATGATCAACTATGAATATTTAATCGAGAACTGATTTGCCATCAAGGAAGAGACTCTGACTGCTGCTGATAATATTTATGCTTCCTCTTTCCCTGCTATGAATTCACCAGTATAAGCTGAATTCATAGCATACCTTAAGCATCAAAAGGTATGTTTTATGCTTTCTTCTTACTGCGCTCAGGTTATGTCTCTATTGTCTACCAGCCTGCTGCAGGCAGAGTGTAAAAGAGGTGTGGGTTTGCAGGTACATCATAAACAAGATGAGATATAAAGCTGCAGCTTCATAACTTTTTCATACTGCAAACATTTCTTTTTGATAATTTAAGTAGTCCAAACTGAAAAAAAAACAGGAAAAAAAATGCTGCTTTTAAAGAGAAACACAATCTTTGCAATGCATTGAAAATGGAAAAAGACACAATTTTACTATTTATATATTTATATATTTTTTCCAGACAATTCAGATTTTCCTATCTGATAATTAAAGTATGTAGATGAGAAATTTCAACCGTATTAAAACACCCCTTAAAATAAGAAAAAAACCCGGCTATAGGCACATAAATTTAGGATATATCATAAGAACAGATTTGTGTTGTGCATGTAATGAATGTAGCACTGGATATCTTATTGATACACCATGAAAATGACTAAATTAAATCTGTTTAAACTGAATGCAAATTACGTTTTTGTAAAAAGTTCACAATAAAGTTGCACAATACTCTCAGCTAGAAGGCTGTTTTGCAAGTCAGGCATTCAGAACAGTAAAAAGATAACATTGCTACAAGCTATACTGGTATAGAGGTGACAGGGTTGTCAACAGGGTTATAGTCACAAGACATATGAACAACTAAATCATATCTAATGACAGTCTGAGTTAAGATGTCTTACAACCATGTTTGCAGAGAAAGCAGGAACAGACAGTTCAGACACCTGCTATGCTGAAAGCCTCTTTCTCTGCTAAAAATTACAAGGAGAGGTTATTGGGTTTGGTCCGATCTACATTTTTATGTCAACATCAAGCTAAATCCTAAAAAACAAATAACTGAACACTGAAAGGGACAACACGTAATACGTAGTTAATTTTTGTACATATTGTCACTGAAGATTTTAGGGTAGAATAAATCCTTATTGAAAAAAGGAAGGAATTCTTTCTAAAATTGTGAAAATAACCAGTAATCATTATACATTTTTTCAAAGCACACGTTAAAGGAGCACAATCTATAAATGTAAACATGCCATCTACAACACAGGATGGGAAGCCAGCTGCACAGGCACCCGCTAAGACGTTAGGCAAATTTTCTCCTGATAATTCAGGCAAACAAAAGCATGTTAAGAGAAAAGATAAAAGTCCCACACTGTTAACTGAAGAGTCATGCATTTTGAGCACAGATATAATCTAAGCATTGTTAAACTAAAATCGGTAGGAAATAAAAAAATAAATTATCTGGGTTTTAGTTTGTAGAGGACTTGGTTTTTTTTGTGAGTAATATTCTGGACAATCAAACATTTCTTTGGGTGAGATAGAGGCAAACATTTTAACCAGTATACGATCCTCGCAGTATGACCACTATTAGTCTACACAATATGCGTACATAGTATCACTGCATCGACACATTAATTAATCAACAAAAATTCATTATATCTAAAATAGATATGAGGGGAAAAAAAACATTTTTTTTCTGAATATATATAAGATATTGACTACTCTTAGGTTAGGATTACCAACCCTGACATGACAATATTAATGGCCTACTACTTTAACCTGCAGTCTCCTGCTAGGCAGAAACGCGTGTAGTTTGCTAGCAACTTTCAAACCAGCATTATATCAAATGGAGTCATTGGAAGCGTTCCTTATGGTTTCATATTATGACAGTCCTTGTTTTGAAAAATATTGCCAAAAACTTACTATAGCAGTTCTTCTTGCAAGTGAAGAAAAAAAAAGGGGAACCAATCTTTAAAGTTATTTTTTTCCTTTATTTTCCTTTATTCGTCAAGTATCTTAAATTAAAATGTTTATGAATTGTGTTGAACATGTAAAAACGCATCATCTTTCAGCCTGTTGACTACCAGGGTGCAGCAACAAGTGGAGGAGGGCCAGTAATTTATTATCCTTAGCTTCATGCAGCCAGAAAAAGCTGTTCATTACAGAAACTGCAGCTTTGAAAACCATTGTATACCCAATGCCCAGTTGGTTGGGTGTTGAAAACAATTAGGCCTACATAACATGCATGACTTTACACAAGTGAAGCAGATTCATACATAGTGTAGCTGCAAGCATGTGCACTATGCACATATACGACAAGCTGAAGCATGCAATTGTTTTTACAGTAAAGATGCACATTGAGACACCCAAAGAGGTGCTTCCACAAGCCTCCAGGACTTGTAACTCAACAATGATCACCATGTCTGCAATCCCAGAAATGAAAGGAGATGAAAGGAGAGGGGGGGTGAGAAAGAGAGAGCTTGGGCTATGTTGGGCCAGCAGGAAGATATAAATAGGAAAGAAGAGTTGGTCTGCCACCTTCTATGCAGAAATAAAATCTCTTAATCAGATGGTTTGTGACCCTGAGCTCATAGAAAACTGCACTCACATGAAAAGACAGTGAATTTGCTCAACAAATCTTGTTTTACCACCTGACACAACGATTGCCTGTCATTGTTATCAGAGACTGCAATGACCCGACTCAAGTTATCAAGTGGCCAGACTGACCCTGAAAAATCACTTCTCTGAAAAGCAAAGTGTACACAGATATCAATAATCATTCAGCAAGTGATCTGCACTCAAGATATAAAATCCAGCTGCTGACAGTTTGTAACGTGCATCGTTCTGTGGAAAAGAAAAGTGTTGCTCCAAGGTGAAAGAGCAGCCAGGGATAAAAACAAGAGCAGTGAACTGAGCTGTGACCTGACACACACTGCTGGCAAAAAGGATATTCAAGGAATTCTGTTGGTGAGAGCATACAAATCCCCCCGGAGTTCAAGTTATAGCCAATTAGCATGACATGCATCCCCAGAATTCACACCCTGCTTCATTGACGTAGTCCAGTGAATCTAGAGGCCAATGTTCCACTGACAAAACACTCATGAGACTTGACCTGCCACAATCCTCCTTCCCACTGAACCACAAACACACCTTTTTATTTTAACTCTCCCAAGTTTTCTCTGTGCCAAACATTATCAACGGTTTCCCTCTAAGGTGCCAAGTTACTCATCTGCACACCTTCAAAACTAATAAATCCTTATCAACAGTCCGAGGCAGTGCCTTTTTAGGACACTATTTGTGTCGGATGGTTTAGTGTGAAGCAAATCCACTTTTAAAGAAGCGCTAATGAAGATCTGAGCAGCAGAATGAGTCAATGTCAATTCTGCTCTGAGGTTTTATTTCAAAACAGACGAGGATTCTTTAGGTAAGACATCATGTCAAAGATAAACACGACTCAGACTACCAACATGGTAGTCTGAGGTTTCAAATATGATTTCAAAAACTGAAGGAATTATGTTATACCATTTTTGTCAAAGCTGCTTACGATATCAAATTGCAGGGAAAAAAATAAAACAAAGCAATATTGACGTGTTTAGCTTACAAATTAAAAAGCACTTCAAGAAATATTTACTTGCATATTACATTTCAAGCGTCACGTGTTAGTTCTGCCAAACCATAATGTTTTAGATCGACTTTAACTTTTATTTCACACGCCTGATATATTTTTTTATTGATCAAGATGCTAAAGCTCAGAAAATGTGTAAAAATGTCAGCCATTCCTAATCACTTAGCAGCTGCGTTTCCATTACAAATGTGTGCAAAACTGGAGGCTATGTTGACGTTCTGCAAAATTCAAATGATCTGATTATTAATTGAAAAAATTATTGACAGATTAATTGATTTGCAAAATATTATGTAGTTACTAATCTCTCCAAAATTACTTTTCAGTCTTACTTGGACTACATCCAATCCTAATGTCGACTCGTTAGGCCTTCATAAAGATTGCATGAAGAAGCAATGTAATCTCATCATTGTAATCTCATCAATCACTGACTATCACCATTTTAAGCATGCACACACTAGCAGCCATATATAAAGGTCCTTAGTTTGTTTTGGTGGAACCTGGTAGAATAAATGTTAGCCTATCCAAAGGGTGGGGCTAGCGTGCACCTGCTTGACTTTGCCATAAGAGAATTTGTACCACATTATGCCCCCATCCAGTCAGAAATGCTTCTTCAGCGCTTTGTGCAGTGGGGGTGCATGACCTCATCGAGCAGCTAAAATCTTTATAACTGTATATAGCTTGAAAAAAGGGTTTCTTACACATAAAACTAACCAGAATTGACCAACACTAATTTATAATACGACTTGTGCTTGACAGATATGCCCTCTCCTCCTGATTGCGCATATAGGCTAATTGTTAAGAGGTCAAAAAAAAGTATCAAACTTTCCACATTGCACTTTTATAAGTTGTTAAGTTTCTAGAAAAAAAAAATGTATCTGATTGTTTAGTGTACAGGACAAAAAAAATGAATTTAGAGGCAGAAAAACACCAAACATTAATACATACAAACCAGGTATTAATAGAACTGGGATTGCGTAAAAGCTATAAAAATGATTAACATTATTCACATGCATGCAGGGGAATAAGGGTCAAGGAAATCTTGAAATTCCATTAACCGTGGAAAACCTCCCTTGCTTAAACAATGCGGGTTTCAGTTGTGCAAGTAAAGAAAGATGTTCTGGCAAAACTGTCAGACTGTCAGAACACCCAGTTCCTCAACAATAACCTGGAGTCAGCAAATGTATTGGAAGCGGAGATAAAACAGACTCCATGTGTTTGTGTACTCTTATAATGTGTGTATTTATGTGTCATCAGCATGCTTGTTTACACCCTTTCAGCAGTTGGCATGACTGGAGGAAACATGCCTGCTAGGCTCCATTACCAAGGCCTGGTTGATCCAGCACTGGCTGAGTCCAGAGGGCGACTGGCTGGGAACACGTTTACTTGTGAAAAAGGAAGGGAGGGTAGATGGATAAAATGATGATGGTTTCTAATCAGGGGACAGGAAGAGGACAAATTCCCCTGACAAGAAGTCTTATGGAAATACATTTTAGAGGCCCAGGTGGAAGTTGTACTCAGGAAAAGAGAGTTAAAACAGACACGGTCTGCATTCTTGCATTGATTATGCGGATTTAGTCCAGAATTTCAGCATTTTATAAAAAAAAAAATAGACTAAACTAGAGAAGATAAGCTCCTTACACCCATAAGAGCAAGATTTAAAAACAATGCATGTGATGAAGCAACTTATGCCGCTCTATTTTAGGTCTGTCCAGGCTTCATCTATACTGTTCCACTGTTTCCTTTGACCTTAGAAAAGAACAAACAAACTCTGAACATGGGGAAGGCAAGATGGAGATCAGCACATCCAAATAACCTAACAATTAATCACCTATTGTTTCTTTCACTGGCTTGACAGCAGACCAAATGCACTTAAATTACCAAAACAATTTCATGTTTTTTTATTCTCCTACAGAGTTATAAAAAAAAGAGCATAACTTTCACGTGTGCAGGTGCAATGCAAAACAAACTGAAATAATACATCCTAAGTAGAATGCTGCATTATGTAGATTTGCTCAGCTTAGAAACCCTTAAATGTTTTTTTTTTCAGGAATATTTAATATTGCATAATACTAATAAAGATATATTAACATGACAGAAATGCTCTATCCATGGGCTAAGTGATCATTGGCAAGAACTATGACCTGACAGCCGTCCAAAGCTGTTTGAGACGCTCCACAAGTAGAAAAGGCTACATGAGATAATTGTTTTAAAAAAGATAGCTGTTTAAAAGTGCTCCATCCAAGAATATGAATGAAAAATTAGGTGCAAGGAAAATGAAAAAATGCAACCTGAAGAGGATTGCGAAATAAATTGCAGGTAGAGTGGAGAAGCCTAAAATCTAAATTGTTCACCAAGTTTCTGCAGTCAGTGGTGATTTGGGAAGCCATGTCATCTACTGGTGCCCATTATTGACAGAACCTTTCAAAGACGTTAAAACTTGGTTCAGGTGCACTTGTATAGACCTAAGTAGTGTGGATGCACACAGGAGATGCCCCTACATGGGTTAAAGGGAAATTTCATTAGAAAAGTTTTACTCAGGTTGACCTAAACCAGGCTAATTACATGCAGATTTAATATTACCTAATGCTGTATGATGATTATCTTTAGTCAAAACACAGGGAAAAGTATTTTTCCCGTATGTTGGCTAAATTTAATAATGGGCCTTTTTTAGGATAACTTAGAAATTCGATGGAGACTGACACCAACTCTTGCTAAATGAATTGAATCATGTTTAACAGATTGTTACTAAACCCTGATCTTCATCCCTGTATGCTTTCCAATGAATCCATGCTTGTGTGTTCTTGTCAGTGAGTGTTATTATTTCCAGCTTACCTGAGTCATCTTTGCCAAATCCAGGGAGGGACGCTGCTCCTGGGCATCCTCTGGTCTTCGGCGCTTCATAGCAATCTTTTTGTCATTCAGCACACAGGGCTGAGACCTGCTTCGAGACAGACTCCCCTTTCCGGCACCTCTCCTTCCCAGCTCTGGGGTGGAGTCTGGCGAGCTGCTCTCAGATGCCTCTTCTTGCTGAAGCTCTGTCAGGCTGATTTGCTCGTGGGAAAGGGATAAAGGCCGGAGAAAGGCCTGACTGTGTGAGTGGTGCGAGAAAACGGAGTTAGGGGACACAGAGGAGGCAGTGAACTGAAGGTGAAGAGGCAGCTGCTGGTTGAAGAGTGGCGGGTCCCGGGTTCCCTCTGGGGCTGAGCTCGAGCATGAAGGCAAACTGAAGCTGGAGCTGCGCTGCATTGGAGGGAAATGGCTTGATCCTCCTCTCACGCTCCCTCCGCTATGGTACCTACGCTTCTCCACAGACGTCCACACTCTGGAGCCTTGAGGCCTCCAGGATGAGCGGGACCCACTGAACTCATCTGAGAACGACAGGGAGCGACACTGCCGTTTGCTCGGAGGGGCCGCAGGAGTCTGGGTGCCGCTTATGAAATGTGTTGGGGTAGGGGGGGTCCCATGAGAGCTGATCCTGTTTCCCAGGGTGAGATCTCTTATCAGACTGGTGATAGCGGTAGTGCTGCCTGGTTCTTTGGCCCAGTGCAAGCCTCCAGGTTCAGGTCCCACATCCCACAGGCTCTCCAAACTGGAATCTCGAGCTTTCTCCTGGATGGCACAGCTTCGTCCCAGGTCCAACCATCTATCTGCCTCTGAAATCAATCATAAGCAACAGACTCAGCCTGACTGGCATAAACAGAGATATACAATGAACTTCATCTTTTACATGAGTAATACCTTAAATGACACAGTTGTATTTAAAGAAAACAAAGCTAAGCAGAAAATCCAAAAGGTTGACCTGCATTTATTTGTTTTTATTTGAGACTGAATGACAGGATTATCCTTATAGGAAAAAAACAACAACTATCATTTAAGCAAAGTGGAAGATTATTGTCTGGGCTAAAATTAAAAAAAAAAAACATTTCTAAGACAGTATTTAGTTTAATAACAGCTAAGAAAAAAATAAACAACTGTTCTGTTAAGTAATGTTTATTTTTCTAAACTTTCATATCCTCTCAGAAAAATAAATATTGTCTTATCAAATTTCAAGCTCATTTGGATCACTGATATATTTTCATGTTATGTTCCACAGTGAAATACTGACAGTGATTTACTATTTTTTGAATATTGATAGAGTTTTGTTTCCCATTTCCTAACATTATCAGGGTCCCATGGAAAAACCTGTTGATAAAAATACTTTTTGTCTACAGAGAAAACAAATGACGTTGCATGACTACTTATTGCAATGCTATGTAAAAAGGAGAATTCTATTTTCAAAAAAATGGGGTTGTTTTAAGAAGGAATGTAGAAATGAAGTCCTTATAAGAGCATAAAGTTAAAAAACACAGTATCGTTTAATGAGATTAAATCATGTTTACATTGGATTGTTTTTGTTTTTTTAATGAGCAGCTAGTAAATAATCAGAAAAATCTCAGATAAAACTTGTTTCTTAAGTATTTTTATGATTAATTATAAATAAATATGATCCAACTAAAAAAAAGAAAATGTGGAATAGGAAACTAAGGATAAGTCTTTATTTCCCTTAACATGAAATAGGAGGAAGTTTGCCCACAGTTTTTAGGGAAAAATCTAAGGAATTCAGAAGATAAAAAAAACAAAACATTCCAGATTATTTGAAAATAACCATCAAGTGATAGAACTAGACACAAGTATGCTTTGAAAACCCGTAAAAGTGTTAGTATTCACAGTGATGTCATCGTCAGCATGGAGGTCTACCGCACAACAGGAGGAGATAATACCCAGACAGTAAATTGCCACAGTTGCTTAAGATGCTAAGCTAAATAAATCAACTGGGGCTTTTGGTAAAGAGATCCTCTTGCAGACCTAAATCCTATCATCATGGGTACCTGGTCTTAAAGCTAGGCAGGCTTTCATCGCTTATTGAAACAACTGTTTTGGTCAGACTAAAAACATATATTGGAGGCAGTGATTATTTCGTGGAATGTCTGAAAATAACTCGACAAAATGATATTTAGATTTACTCCAAGAGGAAACCAACTAGACGCACGAATGGGAGGGTAAAAGCGGGAAAAGTCGGCCGATCTAATACCAGTGACGTCAATGCCTTTCTCGCTAAAGAGAAAAGAAGTGATAGCGCATGCTTGTGTTTACAGTGGCACGTCTTTTAACACGGGGAGTAATTACTGCAACTCTAATACAGCCTAAGAGAAATTGTTGACATAGGCAACGGTGTATTCAATTACAGCTCCCTCCCATGAGAACCCTGTGCAACGTTGTATGGAGGCAGGTGCAGCCTTATCATGAGAAGGGGATGAGTAACAGATGGAGAAAGTGAGAAGTGAGAGACCAAGCTAAACAACAAGACAGTTAATCAGGATCACTGAACTTCATAGTCGGACTTATCAAGGAGGCAGTAAATTAGACCAATGCTTCTAAAGTGATGTATTGGCACTCATTCATTAGTAGAAATATGCTTTTCAATTATGCATTTAATTCTTAGTTGAAATTCTTAGTTTTGTTTTGGAAAACTCAAAGAGAAAAGCCAGTGGGACGTCAGAAGTCCAAGTGGAAAAACAGCTTTGTCACCAATCATGAATTTGAAACTCTACACAGCTGCCTCCTAGAGAAAACCTGCTGAGAATCATGATTAAAATAGTTTATTTATAACTCTGATAATCTGATTATAATATAATCTCTCAACTTTGAAGTTTCCGAGTTTGAACTCCAAGTAAAAATAGATCACATCAGTTTTATTTTTTTTACTGGGAGTTTTCCAAATGTTCCTCATCTATCATTACGCTGTTAGTGCTCATTATCTCCTCATTTCAGCAGATTGACTCATATTTGCCTTAGAAATAATTAAACAGGAAGTAAAGGATCATCGCTGGTATCTGCACCATAGTTTTTTAAAATGGAAATATTAAACTACTGTGCTGGGAATGCAAAAATTAGAAATTTTAAATATAAAGGAAGAAAAAGCAAGAACAACTGACCGACTGTTCCACAGGAGAAGAGGGTGGTCCCTCTGCTCATGGTGCGGAGATCACTCTGCAGAGAATAAATAAACAGTCAGTAAGACACTAAAACTAAAAAGTAGGAAAGAAAATTCCACAAATATTGCTCCTGAAATAAATATAAATATTAATATAAATTTAACGCATTTAGTAGCAATATAAACATACCCTGTGTAAACTTCTTATGTAAACATTAATATACCTGATGTTGGTTTATGTTTTGCTAAATTATTATCGTTTTAGTACACAAGCTTTTCCCATCCTTACCACAGTTTATTTTTAAAAGTGGGTAAACATTTTTAATTTTTAAAAACATAAACCACTCAGAGCCAAGGAGAACTGAGACAAGGAAGTAGTTCCTTCTCAGACCAATGATTTTAACCTCTGAAACAGTCATGTCTCTGAAGATTGAGGGAAAGAAAGCAGAACCAAAAAATGAATACATATCATCAAGACAACTGAAACCAGCAGCAAATTAAAACTACCCAGGTGGCCAAAGTAGTTTGGTGCTACAACAACCTGACTCACCCTATGTACAGTATTAATTAAATTCAGTGGCTCAGTCTGAGGACCACACATGGCTCACCGTTAGTCTGGTTGAAAGTGGCTATGTGGGTGAGTTCTCATTTGAAGGTGGATTACACATTCTGAACAAAGCCCAAAACGGACTAACCTTCATAGTCTGCTGACCAGAAACTCGAGAAACGTGGAACGTCTACCCGTGGCATTAAATTTACACATTGTACAATATCCTAATCCACATAAAATCTTGGACAGATTTTCAAGCTAAGTTAACAAAGCAAATGTTTGATACCAGCATACCTTTTTAAAATGTTATTTTTGTGGAATAACAGGTGCTAAATATTGCGATTCCCATGCTCTCCTTTAATAATATATATATTTTTAAATACCATGGCAAGTCCTATGTAATGTAACCAACGGAGTAGAGCGGTGTGTTCAATAAATAAAAAAAGAAATAAAATAACAAAAAGATATACTTGAACATGGATGATTCATTAGAAAAATCCTGAAAAAGCAAAGCTGAACTGTGACAAATAAAAATTTTAATATCTCAGCAGTAATGAGTTTGAAGCCTTTTTCTGATCACTTGTTTAATACGGCCATGAAAGCAGCACTTTAGGCCTGATATCTGCATCTACACCCGAGACTGTTATTTTATAGCAAGACAAGAAGTAGCTCTTGTGTCTTTGTACTATAGTGTTGACAGAGATGACTAATAAAGACAGCTGGTAAGTGCAAGTATAAATAATTTGTAACCATTAACCACTAAGTGCAAAGGTTAAAGCTGTTTAGCATATATATACATATTCTATCTCAAGGCAGGTTTTCACATTTAAAAAAAAATGTAGATTGTTTTTGACCACCCTTAATTTAAAATCTAAATTACTTGAATAAATCCAAAGTGAACTGGAATAGTTTTTACAATCAACATGGAGAAAGTGTAATTAACCATTTCAAGACTAAAGTACAGGTAGAGTGGAGAAGCCCAAAATCCAAATTGCTGACTAAGGCTACGTTCACACTGCAGGCCTTGATGCTAATGTTCCGATTTTTTTTTGCTAAATCCGATTTTTTTGCTTTGCCGTTCACATTTCCAAATATATGCGACTTGTATGTGATCTCCTGTGTGAACTACAGTCATACAACGCAAGTGTCCCGCATGCGGAGTAGAGGACGCAATGACATCACAGGTCAGCATGCTCTGTGTTTACAGAAGTAAACATGGATGGTAGTGCCGGAGCGCATCTAGCGATCTTTTCCCACCTTAAAAACTCAATCTTTTCAAGATGGTTAAACATAAATACTGCTCTCCGCATCATCGTCCACCATGGTTGTTATTTTTCTTGCCGCCTCTTCATAGTAAGACCCAGAATAGTGACCTTTGTTGGGTATTAATTGCGTTCAGGTCGGATTAATGCGACCTGTGTCTGAACAGCAAGGTTGAAAAGATCAGATTCGTATTGGATTCAGGACCACATAGCCAAGCGGCCTGGGTCGCATTGGAAAACATCGGATCTGTTTTGTTCAGACTGCCACAAAAAGATCAGATCCAGGTCGCATATGGGCCAAAAAAAAAAAATCAGATTTGGGTCACTTCAGGCTGCAGTGTGAACGTAGCCTAAGTTTCTGCAGTTTCTACTGGTGGCGATTACTGACAGAACATTACAAAGATGTTAAAAATTGGTTGAGGTGCACTTTAAACAGCTAAAAAATAAATGGCATAACTCAGACACATCAGATTTTGGTGACTGATGGAAGTGGAATATTTTGTATTATGAGCTAAACAGCTCAGATTTCCATCTTTTTTTATTTTATTTGCAGATTTAGGCTGTGGCAGTGATCTCCAGCAGAACAGCCCACTGACGACCTTTTATTATGCTCTCAGGTATCGATGTCACAACCATGGCGTCTTGAGTTCATTTTATAAAATATGTAATCTTAAATACACATTTGAATGGTTGAGGTTTTGTGAAGCAAACTTCCCTTTTTGAATGTTAAGTATTTAAAGCCTGTTTGACTTTTCTTGAGAAATGATCAGGGTAATTAAAATACGTAAGACGCGCACACACACACACATCCACCCACCCACCTACACACAAATAATCCAAACGGTTGAAGTTCAAACAAACACAAGGTCCTGTTTTAGCAATCTGGCCTGTCTACTTTCAAACTAGGTGTAGTCTTGATTTAGTGACACAGTTACATAATTAGGGTTCTAACTTAACATTTGCTTTTCATGAAGCAAAATCAATGAAGACTTTCAACTAATATAGCACTTTATTTTACTTCTTTATTATAAGTGGACTACAAGCTTCAGGCCTTGAATACTCAAGATGGTGACAGTAGGTAGAGTATGAGACTACCTCTGTGATTACTTCTTATACCAAATGTAAAAGTTTGTTTTCTGTGAACCGGGATGTGAAGTTTCTCTCACCAGCTGTCTGTTGGAGCTCTTGGACGTTACATCATTCGCACCCTTCTTCTTTTCCAGTGTTTTTGAGAAAATGATCACCATGGTAGCGCACAGCTCTGCTCCGGGGTGTTCAGGTGCAAGAAAAGGCCACGGGCGGCCATCTTTATATGAGGGCGGAATGCAGATTGTGCATTTGGGTGAAGCGGACCAGCAGATTGTGACCTCCCATCTGAAGAGAGCAGTGCTGATGAAGCCAGTCGAGGTAGGAGGGTCTCTGTTATTGCTTCAGCTGATCCCTGTGTAATAAATAAATAAATAAAGAGGCATGAGATTTAAATGAAAGAAAATCAATACCAAACAGGATGCACATTTTTAACTCTTTAATCCCTTCCTGCAAAGAGGTATGCTTAAACAGTTGTATCCCCTTCAGCGTTATTCGACAAATGGAGGCTTGTGAGAGAAACTTTGTCTAGCAGACTGTACAAGGTCGAGGCTTTGAATGAATTCGAATTAAATCAATACAATTTTCCATGTTACCTATATAACCCACCTCCTCCCACAAATCCAGTAGGGCCATGCAGAAAATGTATGAAACAGTTTTTGCTGAATACAGCACCTCATAACCATATAAATGTTCTAACCCTTTGAACATTTCTATTACACAAGCCAGAACTTTATCATATTTTATGGAAGTTTTATGCGATACAGCAAAACAATTCAGAGAATAATTATCAAGGGAGATAACATTCTGGAAGTAGGTAGCGTCAACCTGCTGAGTATTAATCCAGCCGTCTTTCTGCAGGCCTTAGAGGTTTTTAGAGAACATAAAGAAAAAATATGAGAACCCATATGCAGGAGAACATTCTATTTGAAAATGCAAAAGAGTACAGCAAATCTCCCCATGAGACAAAGAAAGAGGTCCATGGTAACTCTGGAGGAGCTGTAGAGATCCTCAGCTCCACTAAAAGAAATGCAAGTGTTTAAGTCTATTCCACCCATGCAATAACAACTGTTAAAAGAAAGCCATAGGATGCCTCTCTTTTAAGTTCTCCCTGAGCCATGTGTTAGAAACAGGAAAAATTATTTCTAAAACTAAAGTTTTATTTTTGGCCAGCATGTAACACACAAGCATTTGGTAGGAAACCAACTTTATAAACTCATCGGTACAAACTATTTCTGCAGAGCATGGTGGTAGTTGAGGTTGTTTTTCTTAGACAGGGACCCTAAACTGATCAGAGTTGATGGGAAAATGTATGCAGCAAAATTTTAGATGTCATTCTGTTTCAGTCATGCAACCATTTTAATTCCACCTCACAATACTGCTCATAAAGAAAATGTGTAGAGGCCAAATAGATAAAGTCTACACTTGCAGGTGTAGTATCTGTTAATCCACAATGTAAAAATATATGATAATACATTCAGTTTAACACCCTAACACTTAGAAATGTTTAACCACCCAGTTACCAAAAGAACTTCACGCTTATAGTAGTGCTACTGTCCTGGTAAACAAAACACCCTGTAGTGTGCTGAACTGCTTCCTCATCGTTGTAATAAAAGGAACGGTTTATACGTGGGAATCCCAACATGCTGAAACACAAGGCGGAGTTTAACTAATGCCAGAAAAAAACAGGACTCTCGTCAAATGACTACAGATGTGGTTAGCAGACCCAAGCAGTGGAGGAACATATATGAAGCGGCGGTCTCCTGCACCCGCATTTGGCAAAGCACGACTGCGGCAAACAAGCCTCTTAAAACCCATGGAGGGTAGATGGAGCATTTGTGGCTCTAATTTGCTTAAATGGGAGAAAGCTCATTCATGCTTTTCTCAGGAGAAATAGCTCCAGTAACTTGAGGCTTAAGGCCAACTCCTTCATCAACCAGCCACTAAGCGTACTGACAGCATCCAAATAGAGAATACCATCATAGCTCAGGTCAAATGTTGGGTAATGACAGCTTTCTAATGTGGAACAACACATGAAGCTAATGGCTCTTCCAGGCTTGCAATGTTACCCTGACTGTGTAACATGTGGTTTAGCATTAAGTAAGGGTTACTGCACTCCACATTCTCGGGTGTGAGGCTGTGCACGCAGTGCTGAATTAGCTTTGAGGGACAGCAAGTCTAGCAAAGAACACCCTAAAACAAAACATATGAGGGAATTGTTTACACGGGAACTGGATAAAACAATTTTGGACCCCCGTTGAAATGTCCTTTACTACACAATGCCATCTTTGTCTGTTTTTTTTTGTTTGTTTTTCCGCAGGCCTCATGACAACATAAAGAATATAAATGTTTCATGTTAGTTTGCCCGTTGAACCAACTGCTAGCATATGACTCCCATTATCTCCATTTACCCAAGAGAGTCAGTGGAGCACAACTGGCCTCGGCAGACGAGGGACGCTGGTTCTGGTGGAGAGAGCTGAAGGAGAGGGAAATGTTTTCCTGGCTCAGTTTTTTTTTTTTTGCAGACTGTTTTACTGATTAGGGCCGACACCAAAGTTTTGGGTGGAGCAGCATAGCAGGGTTTATGTGTATACGAGAGGTAATCAGGGTGAGGGCTGAGGCGCGTTGTGATCATGCATGAAGGTTGTTACAGTGTGAGGTCAGGGTGCTTTGAGGATGTTCATAAAGGCTGAAACTGCAGCATATGCTTATGTGCCGGTACAGATTGTCTGTTTATGCTAACCTGCACTAGTTAGGAGACAAGCAAATAGGGTCATGGGAGAGGGCAAGAGGGAGTGTGAATTCAGCCCTGGAGCCAAGCCTACTTAATGAACCAACCTGTCATGATGAGGAAACCAGGGCTTAGTGCAGATGTGGTTCACTTGTGTTAGACCTGTGCTGATCAGATCACAACCATTATTTTTCTGTTGCAAAGCACCTAAAATCCGATGAATCACTTTTCCACTGATCCCTTTAACTGTGTGATTTCTCTGCTGTAGTGTGTGAAATATGACTACACAAAGCCAATCATTAATCTCACAAGCTCAACTGGACACCCCTTCACAAAAACTAGGATAAGTTAAAACTGGCATAATCAACCTTTTATACTACACTATATTATACTATTCCACAAAAGGCTACCCATACTTTAAATGTTGCATGCTGCTGCACTTTCTCACCAGCTTTCTGTTGAATTGTTCGAACACCTCATTAAGCATTTCTAGTTTTGAAACCAGCTACAATTACATCTGCTTGCATATGTTAGACTGCAGATGGCAACTCTATGCTCCAAGTAAGTGACTCAGGAGGGCACAAGAAAAGGGCAGCTAAGATAACATGGCTCTTTGCCCAGACAGTGATTTGCACAGGCAGATGAATAGAAGACCATTTGGGCCCCCAATAAAGTTCTCTGATTGGACGTTCGCTGTCAGTCACCCAGCTGGCTCTGGCTGCTGCATACTTGTGCGGAGCCCGTCTGGTGTCAAGACTTTGATCAGTGGCTTTGGTTGAAATAAAAAGAAAAGAATTCATTTCCCACCAAACTAGATTACGATGAGCAAACAAAGCACTGCTTGGGTGTCTTACTTTATACTTCTTCGACTTTTTCCATGCTTTTGTCATGGGCTGAATTGAGGATTGTTAATTCTAGGAAAAGACAGAGCCAACCCTCTTCAAGATAATGTGGCTGAGGTTGTAAAAATGGTCCAAAGTGGGCCATGACATACCACTGACTACTTTAGCCATCACCTTAGTACCCACATGCGTAGGAAGGCAGGCCTAATACTGCCCACTATCACACCAATAGCTCTTCACAATTGCAAAAACAAAAGCCACGATCCATCACTTGAACATTCCGTGTTGTCAGTGTTAATGTTAGGCATTTGGGGTTGTGACTTTTAGAAACTTTTTTTCTTTTTAATAAAAGACCCTGTTCCAGACACAAGAGAATCTATCAAAATGGGTTCTTTTCTTCGATAGAGGTCTCACACCTTGGCTACACCAAATATTGCTTTGTTTTGGTATTGCTTTTTCTTTTAAACACATGCCTACCAACATTAGATATCCATGCTTTTTATATTTTTTGGTGGGGGGTTAAGGCTAAGGTAAGGAGTTATAAATGCAGAATCTTACTTTTGTAGGTAACTGGTACCTGTCCAAATCAGGCCAAAACAAGGAAACAGAAAATCAGGCTGGGATTGGTTTTGTGATTAACCTCAACCATCCCTTAATAACACTTGGTCATCAACAATTTCCTTTATAGGGACATTTCTAAGATTTATTTTTTAAAGGCATAATTTAATGGTTCTATGAATGAAGTTTGTGCCTAAATCTGGGGTAGACCCCTGCTGGTTTTAGCATATTAAATAATCATTAGCATCCTACTAAATCATTAATCAGATAAAAATGTATTGAATAAGTGCAAGACATAGAATAACCAACATAAATCTGACCTACACTTTGTGTGATCTGAATCAAAAGGCAGTTATAACCATTTTATACCATTAGATGGTAATATTTTCGACATTGATGACTTAAAATATAAATTCAGGTCATCCTAAGCATGGCTAAAGTAGTGACAGGCCATTGATTGTTAGAAATTCTTTTATTTTTATTGTTTATCTTTTCTTCTTAGTCAATAACTTCTTGACCTTATGTTAAAAGTTATACAGAAACAGAGTAAATGACAGATGTTGAAAAATCTACGAAAAGGAAAATAAAGAAAATAAACCTAACAACTAAGATGGCAAAAGTACTTAAGAAAAAAAAGTAGAGCTTCTACAACTGAAAAAAAAATCAAGTGAAAAGTTTGCCTTAATTAAAAAAACTACTCTTCAAAATGTGTAATGCACAGAAAATTTCCCAGTTTTGCTCACTGTGTTTGTATAGAGTGCATAAAAAGAACTAGTTAGGTTAGTTTTGCTCTAAATTAGTTTCAGACAACATAATATGAATTGAACTAAACAGAAGCCAGTCATATACGGCTGATTACTTGAAGCTCTGATATTTACAGCATTTTGAAATAAAAGTTTAAACATGACCAACATACACATTTAAAATGAATATAAGGGGTAATGGATGGAGAGTATTGCATTTCACAATCTGAGTTATCTTCTATAATATTTCCCAGCTCCCGTCCTTAGTCCATGTCACTATCTTTATTTTTCTAGAAACAAAATGTGATTCAACTGAACAGGTTTTATTTAAGTCCTTCAGTTTCCCTCTTTTGTGCAGCTGTTACATCATACCACTATCATCATCTGTAAAGTAATGAGCCAATTCATACCAAAAAAAAAAAAAATCTACTCAAGTATAGTAAGAATGCATTAATACTTACTTATTTTTACAAAATATTTA